GGGGGGGCTCGGCCGGCGGGGGGGGGGGAGGGAGGAGGCGGGGCGGAGGGAGTGCAGGAAATAAGCAGCTTGGCATGGCAGTGCAGCAAAGCTCTATCCCTGCAGGCTCCACCCCCATCGCTCCCACTGGCTAGAAATGGCCTCTGTTTGTGGCCCCCAACTGATTTTTCTGTGGTCAGTAGCACCTAACCCAAAAAAGGTTCCCCACCCCTGACAGAGTTTTGACTCTCTGCCTGTAAAACTGAAATTGTCCTGCCTAAATAAGCAGCTTGGCATGGCAGTGCAGCAAAGCTCTATCCCTGCAGGCTCCACCCCCATCGCTCCCACTGGCTAGAAATGGCCTCTGTTTGTGGCCCCCAACTGATTTTTCTGTGGTCAGTAGCACCTAACCCAAAAAAGGTTCCCCACCCCTGACAGAGTTTTGACTCTCTGCCTGTAAAACTGAAATTGTCCTGCCTTTAGGCCTAATTCTCCTTTTGCTTATGCTGCTGTAGCCCTGGAGCATTGAAGACACTGGCGTTGAATCAGGGTAAAAACCAGTATAAGTGTGAAGAGTTTCAGGCCCTTAACTTTTTTATATAAGAAATCAAAAGTTAATTAGGTGTTTTTTAACCCTTATATTCTAAAATTTATATTGGGATACAAAACAAATCTCGTGTTTTGAGTAAAAGATTATTAAATGATCCATTCTATCACCAAAAATAATTGTATGTTAGTTTGTTTTGCAATAAAGCTTGGTAAAATAATTAATGTTATCAAATGAATGAAAGGTTTTTTCTTTCTCATCATTTTTGAGTTAACAAAACAAGTAATTAGAATTGTCCATTTTTATAGATCTTGTTGGAAATACAAGCCTTTTAATATTTTCTTCCTACCACAACGTGAGAAAGGGAAAGCTTGCATTCCTTTTCTCAATGTATGTGCATAATTAATCTGTAATTAATTTAATGGAATTGCGCAAGCATCCAGGGGGAAAATACAGGCATTTTTATAATGCTGTAATTTAAGCATTGCAATTTCATGCTGAAATTAACAGCATAACTCTGAAAAACACGTTTAATATATATTTTGAAATTTAATGATATTAAGAGGTAAGTTGTAAGTTAAGTTCAGTAAGGACAATAAAATTAATATAGTGACAAGTATTCTGGTTATTTAGCTGCTGGTCAGTTAAAAGCTTTTTTAAATTAAGAAGAAACTCACTTATCACTGTATCTTCATCAGGTTCAAACACCTTCTAACCCAATCCATTTCAGACTGAACAGGGCTAATACCTGTATCTAGTCATGTCGGTATAGGAAGATTCTTGACTGTTGTAACATAATTGATGAAATCTGACTTGTTTTGTGTCTCTTCCTATATCTACTTGTCATGATACTGAGGCTTTAAGGAATGTTTTGGCTTTCTTTCATACAATATGAATAAATCCTTACCTCCCTTTTTAAATTCAACTTTAACCATGACAAATAGTAATCTTGAGGACATCACATTTTCTTGCTCTTTCTTTTTTGCGGTGTTGAGGAAGCATGCTTCTCATTGTACCAGACACATAACCAGTTCTGACTTTACACAAAATACTCAAGACATTGTTCATGCAGTTATTTGTTCTTGTAAGTTATATGCATGCTCTTTAAAAGACCTAAAATGGTTTAAAAAGTATCTGACCTCAAATTCTACCTTTTTAGATTAAGAAGTGTAAAAATGGAGCAAAGGAAACTGAATGATCAAGCAAACACTTTGGTGGACCTGGCAAAGGTTAGTAAGTAGTTATTAAACATTTCATTTGTTCTTTTGTAAATTAACATTTATAGTCTCTAAATTAATAGTTCAGAATAGAAGGTTCACCTTTCCACCGTAGTTCAAAGGTAGACATACATATTCTTCCCCAGTCTGTCATTACAGGAAAATAGGCCAATTGTCTTATCTGTTGTGGTAAATTGTGTTAAAGCCAGTATGAGAGAGTCATAGGGTTTGGAAAGACCTCAGGAGGTCATCCAGTGCAACCCTTTCCTCAAAGCATGTCCAACTAAATCATTCCAGCCAGGGCTTTTCAAACCTGGTCTTAACCTCGAAGGATGAAGATTCCACTGCCTTCCTAGGCAACCCATTCCAGTGCTTCACCACTCTCCTACTGAAATAGCTTTTCCTAATATCCAACCTAGATCACAGCAACTGGAGAACATTGTTCTTTGTTCTGTCATCTGTTCCACTGAGAACAGTCTAGCTCAGGGGTGGGCAATAATTTTTGATGGGGGGCCACTGCAGAAATTTTTTAATTTCTCTCGTACATTTTTTAATTTTTAATTTGCTGCCCTGGAAGGTATGTGGACTCAGGTGGAAGGAGCGGGGCCAGGACACTTCCGTGCTTCCCCACCCACCCTGATTGGTCTGGGGTGGGGCAGTTATAAAGTCTTTTCCTGTCCCAGAGAGAACTGCCAGCTGTTCTGAACAGACAGCAGTTCCCTCTAGGGTACCCATGACCCTGGCAGTGGGAGTTGACTTTGTGTGCTCCCTCCCCTGTCCCCAGGTCAATCAGGGCCTGGGGAGGAGGAGCACATGAAGTCTCTTGCTCCCTGCTTCCTCCCTGAGCAGCAGCTGGCTGTTGACTTCAAGTGCTGAGCCCCTTGCAGGGCGGGAATAGACTTCATGTGCTCCCCCTACCCCCAAGCCCTGATTAGCCTGGGGGTAGGGGAAGCGCGCAAAGTCTCTTCCCACCCTGCGCCCTTTCTGCAAGGAGTGTGCAGTGCTTTGAAGCGCCACACTCCTCACAGGGCAAGTAGTAGGGGGACAGGGCAGGAGGAGACTTTGTGCGTTTCCCTTCCGCCCCCAGGCCCTAATTGGCCTGGGGGCAGTGGGAGTGGCAGGACCTCCGTGGGCCAGATCTGGCCCCTGAGGCCCTTTTGCCCAATCCTAGCCTAGCTCCGTCCTCTTTGGAAACCCACTTCAGGTAGTTGAAGGCTGCTATCAAACTCCCCCTCATTCTTCTCATATGTAGACTAAATAAATTCTGATACCTCAGCCTCTCCTCATAAGTCATGCGCCCCAGCCCCTTAATTTTTGTTGCCTTTCGTTGGATACTCTACAGTTTGTCCAGATCCTTTCTGTAATGGGGGGCATAAAATTAGACTCGGTACTCCAGATATGGCTTCACTAATGCCAAGTATCATTATATCTGAAATGACATATAGTTGTTACTTTGGAAAAAAAGGCAAAGCTTTTGTTTAATGCACATAACATGGAGCCTGCTTCCAAGAGCTGCAGAACTGACTTCAGTGGCACTGTGGCTGTTTAGCTTCTTTCAGGAATTGGCCATGTCTGTGTGATATTATTATATGAAAGAACACATTCTTCCCTATATTTATGAGAGAGAGAATATAGCCTACTAGTTGCAACAGAGGACTGGAAATCAGAAGTTCTGGGTTCATGGTCAGCACTGCTAATGTGATCTTGGGCAAGTTACTTTACATTTGTATTTCTGGTCCATATTTGTAAACTAGGGATAATACTAACCTATTTGTATAGTGTGTTATGAAGCTTGGTTAATTAAACTTTTTAGGTTTTCCCTTTGCGATCTTCAGATGAAATGTGCTATTTAAGTACACAGTACAATTATATTATGTGCTTTCTGTGGTGAATAATCCAACTTATAGGATTGAAGCCAACATGTACAAGGTTTCACATTAACATATGTGTATATAGCAGCTGCTCAATCTGAACTTCATGTGATACTAAGCAAGACGTGTATGTATTTTAAATAAGTATCTCAGTTGTCTATCCCAGATGCTTTGAATCCACATTTGTTCAGTACTTGTCTTTATAATCACCCTGAATCCTTCAGTATACCTCCCACTTCTGCAATGCAAAACTCCCTGAGGCCTTAAGTAAGAGTAAAAAGAGTACCCAGATAACTACTTTGGATGCAATTCAAATACTTCCTATTTATGTCCACTAATAAAGACAACAGTTTTGCCTAGGAGGTATATATAGTAGCTTTCCCTCAAAAGTCATGTCAACATCTTTGAAACAGCCTTTGCAGTTAAAAAAAAAAGTGCTGATTTGTCACTGCCTTGCAACTTATGCAGTTCATTCCATGTCTATGTACTATAAACTTGACTACAGTTCAGTAAATTTGCCTACAGGTAATAAAGAATCTGATTATGATTTTATGTCACTTTAAGTGTTTAAACCAAAGTCTTAACTGAACTCATCCTTCTTGTGGACATAGAAAAACCACCTTAACTCTTACCTTTGTTTCAGATATAGCATTCCAGTCCCATAAGACAAATACAGTACAGTAATCAAAATGAGAGAAAATTATTAATGAAAGATAATATTGTTTCATAAAGGGATTTAGCAACACAAACATGCATATATAAAATGGATTTTTTAATTCTAGTCCTCTAGGGACTTCCCTTCTGCTTCCTTGTAAAGTTAGTGAAATCTGAATATAAATTAAACTCTATTTTATCATTTAAGGATCATTTGTTCAACAAGACCTTTCATATGAAGCAGAAAAAATAAAGTATAAAAGTTGTATGCTTCACATTTAAGATAGAGCATCTGGTTACTTTCAAAGCATTTCATATCAACAAATCACTTGAATTATTTTATATTTTTGTTTTCTAGGGGGAGGGATGGTGGTACTTTAAAAGTATATTTTTCTCCTTGGTTGGCATAAAGAGCTCCATTACCACCAATGATAGTTCCATTTGCTGATCCAGGGGAGAACATATTGCTTAGAAATATAAAGATCTATTTAACAAAAATATAGAGAAGGATAAAAATGTCAGAATTAATCCCATATACCGTGGAAATTTTTGACTTCCTCCACTTGTTGAATAAGTCAACTATTAAGGTAGCACATTTCCAAATCTCTGTACTTCTGAAAGGTTTTCTGTTTTAGCCAGTTCATCACAGTTTGAAATTAAACCTGCTTCATTAAGGAATGAATGTTAACTTCTACTCCTAGAATGTTGCACCAAGGGAGGATTTGTACTGAAGCCCTAAGTAAAATTACTTCATGAGACAGGTGTTTATTGTAGTATCATCAGCCTTCCACTCATGCTGACCTTTTCTTTCAGTACCAACTGCAAAGGGCAGGGAAAAAACAAAATTCTTTCAGAAACTCTAATGGAATAACACATCATACTGAAATGTTTGCAAACCAGATGTAAAGTTCTGCTTACACCCTCTCCTTTCAGACTCAAAACATCATGTACGACATGATTTCTGACTTAAATGAAAGAAGTGAAGATTTTGAGAAGAGGATTGTTACTTTGGAAACTAAACTGGAAACCTTAATTGGTAGCATTCAAGCTCTCCCAGGACTGATTAGCCAGACAATCAGCCAACAACAGAGGGATTTCCTTGAAGCTCAGATACAAAATTACGACAAGCATGTTGCCTACAGTGCTGAGAGATCACGATCTTTGTCGAGACGGAGATCCTCCTCCACAGCACCACCGACTTCGTCAGAGAGTAGCTAGAAGAGAATATGTTAACCACAAAATAAAGACTTTTTGCCATCATATGGTCAATATTTTAGCTTTTATTGTAAAGCCCTACAGTTCTAATCAGTGTTATCTTGGTTCTGATGTCAGAATCCTGGAAACCTGAACACACAGTTTTAGGCCAAAATGAGCGAAAACTTTTTTTTTTCTGTCAGATGCACAGTGAATGCACCTATTATTGCTATATAGATTATTCCTCCTGTAATTTCACTAACTTTTTATTCATGCACTTAAAACAAACTTTACTACTACAGTATATAAATATAATAAAAAAGTTAATTTCTGCACATACCTGCTTGGTCGCTTTGACTTTAACATATTTAAAGTTTTATTAAGTATTAGTTGAAGTTCAAATTAGTTGAAGATGATTCTAACTAAAGAAATGCAGAGTTTAAGCTTTATTAGCCTCAAGAGGTGAACATTGCTTTTCTAACCTCTCCCTTGGGGGAGAAAAAAAATTGCTTGATGAACATTATTACAGTTTTTGCATGTATAACCACTTGAGAGGGACAGTGTTAACCTGAATTTTTAAAAAGTGATTATTTTAAAAAAAACAACAACAATTTCTGCTACTCCCTTTATAAAATGTTCCATGATTTTTTTTTAAGTATTTTCATTGGAGGGGGGTTCTGCTCACCTAGCTATGTTTATAAAGGGCCTTTTCAGTAGTGGGGAAAAATCCTATATAACTTTCTATGCATTGAAATGGACTGTGCTTACTTTGTGCATTTGCTGAATTTTATGAAGAGTAAAAACACAAAGAAAAAAATTCCTTCTAATTACTTCTGTTATAATCATTTTGGGAGTGACTTGTAACTATAGCAGACAGGTATATGATTTAATGTGATATAATATTTCCAGACAGATTTTTTTCAAGTTGATAGTGCCCTTTTACATTATTCTGCATTTTCTGTTTCCTTTTCAAAAGTGTGTGTGTTTTTTTTGTTTTGGGGGTTTTTTTTGTTTGTTTTTTTGTATTTGTCATATGTAGGTATGAACTCCAAAGAAAAGCCTAAGTTACTGTGGCACAGTAATATGTCGCATTTAGATAATCCCTTTGATTTCAACTACAAATCTAGGAAACTAACAGAGAGAAAGTGAGGTTTAACCAAAGAGTTTCTTCATGATGGTCATTAAAAAGATGTTGGAAGTTTGTGTCGGAAGCTAGTACCCACTTGAACCATTGGGTAGTCTATTGTTTCCTTTCATTCACTAATAATGAAGTCTCGTATTTTGAAAAGGCATATGTGGGCAGTTTGACTTTTCTACTGAATATATCATGAATGGCAATCTTATGTAGATTATTTGTGCAAGGCACAAGAGTATTACATGTATGGGTCTCATTTATAAAAACAGTATGTAGGGGACTTTAATTCCCTACCTTGGTATCATCCTTATTGGTCAACCAAGAGAGCATAACACCAATGAAATGAAGATAATTGGTAAGTATAGCTATTCCATATTGTCATAAAATACATTTATTAAATAGATCTATATATGAACTTGTATGCATGTTGGAGAAAATTGAGGTTGTTATATTAAATATTGAAAGTTCAACTCTACATAAATTAATTTCTGGCAAACATTTAAAAGACATTTCTATTCTCATCTTAGAAACACAGACATTTCTAGGATGGAGCTGGCCATGAATACACTCATGCTAAGAGATAAAATGTCACTACTTTTTACACCAGTGCACTTAGCACACAACACTGGAAAATCCAGTCCAACTTCTAAGCAGCTTCATTTTTGCCCAGTTAAGGACCAGGTGCTACTGTAAACAGGGGAAAAACTTGTGCAACATACATAGTGGTGGATCACTAGCATTTATAGAATATGTCTTAGAATAGACTGCAGAGTATTTGCTACTTCTCTGAACAGATGACTTATGCTGGTCAGCTTGAGCCTGGCAATAGCAATATATGGTGACTTCGGGGCCAGCCTTGTCCTATGCACTATAACCCGCATTAACTATTGTACTTGCTTCATGATGTTAGACAGGCATAATTGCCAGAATGCATTTGTATGACAGTTCAGGATGTTAGCTAACAATCTACTGTGTTTATGAGTGGGATTTAAGACCAATATTTTGTAAATTAGTGTCTGATTTGAAATGACTGTTCATGTCCCATCTTAAGACAGTTTTGCCCTGATTTTCAGAAATTCTGGGCACTCACATATTCAACTGAAGTCTTTCTCTTCCCCAAAATATGAATTCTCTTTCTCTCTCTCTCTCTCTCTCTCTCGCAATATTTTCATATATTTCTGCCTGCCTCTGATAACATATTGCATATTAGAACTTTTATATTTGAAAAATGCTGCCTGTTATGCTTCTAGGTTACTGTGCTCTTTAGTATAATCCATAATAATAATGCCTAATTCTTATACAGGTCAGTAGATCTCAAACCACTGTAAAACAAGGTCAGTATTATTAATCCTATTAATAATGGGAGATATTGAGGCCATCTAGCAGGTCAGTGATTTAGCCAGAAATAGGAGCCAGATTTCCTGAATACCATGTCAATGCTCTAGCCACTAGGCAACAGTGCCATAAGAGAAACTAGTGTAATAAGGACCTTAAACTTTTATCTTTTATGTGGGACACAATAGTTTTTCAGTCATAAACTATAAGCTTATGAAACTAGCTTTGTGAGGCCTCTATATAATTTCCAAACAATTATTTTCTCATAAGAATGGCTATACTGAGTTAGATCAAAAGCCCATCTAGCCCTATAACTCTCTTCCAAGAGCAACCAATGGCAGATGCCCCGGAAGGAATGAACAGAACAGGCGACCATTGAGTAATCCATCTCCTGTGGTCTATGTCTGGCAAATAGAGACTAGGCACACTAGTATGGGTTTGTGTCCTGGAGCATCCTGACCAATAGCCATTGATGGATCTTCCTCCATTAACTTATTTAATTCTTTTTTGAGCCATATTACAGTTTTGGCTTTCACAACATCCCCTGGGAAAGCATTCAACAGGTTGACCATGTATTTCATAGAGTACTACCGCTTGTTTGTTTTAAACCAACTGCCTATTAATATCATTTGGTGACTCCTGGTTCTTATGTTATTAGAAGGAGTAAATTACATTTCCTTATCCACTTTCTCCACACCAATCAACAAGTTATAGATCTCTATCATATCCCTTCTTATTCATTTCTCTTCCAAGCTGAAAAGTCCTAGTCTTTTTAATCTCTCCTCATATAGAAGCTGTTCCATACACTTAAATCATTTTTATGCCATTCATTATACCTTGTCCAATTCTAATATTTTTTTTTGAGTTGGGGTGACAAGATCTGCAGGCATTATTCAAGATGTGGCTGTATCATGGATTAACCTAGAGGCATTATGATATTTTCTGTCTTACCTATCCCTTTATTTTATCCTCCACTTTCAGAAATCAATAGGTTAAGAACATACTTAAGAAAAGCCATACTGAGTCAGACCAATGGTCCATCTAGTCCAGTATCCTGTCTTCCAGCAATGGCCAAAGCCAGGTGCTTCAGAGGAAATGAACAAAACGGGTGTCCATTAAGTGATCCATCCCCTGTCGCCCTTTCCTGGCAAACAGAACGCAGGGACACATCAGAGCATGGCTTTGCATCCCTGCACATCTAGGCTAATAGCTGTTGATGGACCTATTTCCATGAACTTATCTAGATATTTTTGGAGAGTTGACAGTTAATGCTGAGAAAAGCAGTCATGAAGAAAGCAATGGATATACCTCAGGAGGTACTGCACGCCAGATGCATCCTGCCGAACATTTTCCTCCAATCTGCCATGATTCTCTGGTGCTGGGACTGGAGGAAGATGTCCCACAGCAGGTAGCTCAGGCATCATATCTGACAGCCACTCTGCTTCCAGAAGTGCCATAGCCAGAGGCTACCCCCACTCCCAGCACCATCCTCACAGCTTGCATTGACTGGGAATGGGCCAATGGAAGATGCAAGGATGGTGCTTGCAGGGGTGGGCAGCATGTGGAGACCCACTTTCCCCTTCCCCACAAAGGAAGAGCAAAGACAGGTTTGCCAATAGCACCTTTGAGTGGCGTGGGGCCACTAAGGCATGCAGGTAGCCTGTCTGCCTAAGTGCCTTGCTGCCCCTCCCATCCAGGGCCAAAGCCTACACCTAGAACCCCTTCTGCACCCCAATCTCCTGCCTCAAGTCACAATCTCCTCCTCGACCCAAACTCCCTTCCAGACTCTGCACCCCAGCCCCTGCCTGGCCCTCCCTCCTGCACCCAAACTCCCTCCCAGATGTCACATCCCTTCCATTAATATCATAGAAAAGTGTGGCCTATGACACCTTACCAAAATTCTTGGAGTAGCCCCCTGCAAAAAGTATTTTGGAATGAGGAGTAACGGTAGTTCGAATTAGGATCTTTAATTCGAACTACCTACTCCGTGCCGCGTGTAGCTGCGGGCATGGAGTTCGGACTAAGGGGGATTTAAAAATGGTGGCGCCTGGGGAACATGCAAATGAAGCCCGGGATATTTAAATCCTGGGCTTCATTTGCAACTCCGCTTGCCCTAATTACCCTACCTAGCTCGAACTAACGAGCTAGTGTAGACATACCCTGAGTGGATTAAGTGCATAATCAGTTATATACTGCTACTACTCTGCTGGCTCTGAGCTATTATTCTGAAGTCAATATTCATAGAATTACATAGACTAGAGGGGACCTCTGGAAGGTCATGTCAGTCCTGCTCCTGCTTTGTGACCATATCCTAATATTTTTTTTCTAATCTATGTCTAACAGCTACTTATAAAATCATGACTTGAAAATTTTCAGTGATGTTCCTAGTATTAGAGGCGAGGAGTCCTGTGGCACCTTATAGACTAACCGAAGTGTTGGAGCATAAGCTTTCATGGGCAAAGACCCACTTCGTCAGGTGCATGTAGTGGAAATTTCCAGAGGCAGGTATAAATATGCAGGCCAGAATCAGGCTGGAGATGACGAGGTGGATCCAATCAGGGAGGATGAGGTCCGCTTCTAGTAGCTGATCTGGAGGTGTGAATTCCAAGAGAGGAGAAGTTGCTTTTGTAGTTAACGAGCCATTCACAGTCTTTGTTTAATCCAGAGTTGATTGTGTCAGACTTGAAGATGAACTGTAGCTTGAAGATGAACTGTAGTTTTTTTGCTGCAGGTTGGCTACCTTTAGATCTGCTATCATGTGTCCAGGGAGATTGAAGTGTTCCCCTACAGGTTTTTGTATGTTGCCATTCCTAATATCTGATTTGTGTCCATTGATTCTTTTACGTAGGGACTGTCCAGTATTGAATTTGAACTATCCTCAGTAACTGTTGGTGCATGTCTGACTCCCATTTGTCAATATAGAATCAATATTTGTGTTTGTGTGTCTGTTTATAGTAGTAAGTTGACTGGAAGTGCACTTAGTACTTCAGCTGTCTTGGCTGCTAAAAAAATCTCCCTATTTATATATAATACCTGTTATACATTGGGCCCTACCAAACAGCCATGAAATCTGGTCTTTTGTGTGCATTTACCATATACTATACAGATTTCACAGGGAAGACCAGTGATTCTCAAATTGGAGGTCTTAACCCAAAAGGGAATAGTGGGAGTGGAATCACAAAGTTATTGTAGGAAGGGTTGCAGTACTGCTACTCTTACTCCCACACTGCTACTGGTGGCAGTGTTGCCCTCAGAGACGGGCATCTGGAGAGCCTACCTATGAAGGCAGAGCCACTACCAGCAGCAGCACAGAAGTAAAGATGGCATGGTATGGTACCGTCATGCTTACATCTGAACTGCTGCCTGCAGAGCTGGGACCTCAGTTAGCAGCTGTAATCAGCATCAGTCAGAGGTGGCCAGGAGGACCATTTGGCCTGGACCTCAAGCTCAAAGGGGTCCTCAGATTTAGCCACTTGTTAATTTTTGGCATTTGATAAGTCTCACAACTTGTTATATGCATCCCTATCCGACCAAAACGTGACACACTCTCTCAGCTTGGAGCTGTAAATTTAAGCAAATAAGAGATGTGAGTTGGTAAAAGACATAATTTTTGTGTTAACTGTTATAGATTTTGTCATATTAAAGAGTGTAAAATGTTCATAAATACAGGTTGAACCTCTCTAGTCCATCACCCTCAGGACCTAACCGGTTCCGAATCAGAGAATTTTTGGACCATGGGAGGTCAATATTGTCCAGCAGCATTACCAACACTTCCACTGTTTACTGGGCTGTTTACATTAAGGGATATATTAGAGCTAAAGTCAGCACAGAACACTGAGAGCCAGGATTGGTGGCTATAAACAAACTTTACGGGACTGTGGGAAACTTGACAACACCCGTGAAAAGTGGACATCTGGCTAACTAAAATCATGCCGGGCCACAGATGGTTTTGGACCAAAAAATTCAGGACTAGAGAGGTTCAACCTGCATTAATAAAAATATATCAGTTCTGATAGCACAAGATTAGACCATGATGAACGTGCCATCTCAGATCAACTGAACAAACCACTGCTAGTGGCTGGTGCTGGATCAGTGTCATCTGTTTTTATTTCTATTGTGGCTAGGGGGCCTCAAAATCTGTAAGTGGCCTGGGACTCTCAGATGACAGGGCCTGGCTGTCACTCTTCAGCTGCCCAGCTCTGAAGGCAGCAGGGCAGAATTAAGGGTATCATGGTATAGTATTGCCTTTAGGTCTGTGCTGTTGGTGGTGGGACGCTGCCTTCAAAGCTGGGCAGCCAGCCAGCAGCTGCTGCTCCCTAGTTAGCCAGCCCTAAAGGCAGCACAGAAACAATAGTGGCTATATTGCAACCCCTTCCCATCCAAAATAGCCTTGTGGTCTCCCTGCAACTTCCTTTACTGCTGTTCCTTTCATAGATATGTAGCTGTGTCTTTTCCAGCATTCATTCACAAAATTGTAATTTTTAAATCTTCCAGCACCTTTAGTTCCACCTGTGTTCTAAATTTAGCTTTTCTCTGAAGCTATTCGTTCCACTTCCACACTTTTTTTCCTTTAGAAAAAAATAACACAACGACTTAGGTGCCAGTAAAGTGGCTTGGTCCATCATCTGCCTGTCTGGAACCGAGGTGCTAGGTCTGAAGGATTAGTTCACAGAAAAACTGGTGCACCTACTTTTTGGATCCAGGAATAAAAATCATATCTCAGATGCAGGAGCTGAGGAAGGGATTTTCTTCAGTAGCCTTGCTACTGAAGGATCTGAACTGGAAAAATATCAAGATCTGGGCAATCAATTTGCTTAGAACAGGACTGCTCTTCATGGAAGAGGCTTGGCAAAGGAGTTTAGCACAGACTCTTCTAGTTATATTTATTTGTTATATTTTAAAAATTGTTCTTTTTGCTAGGGGAAGAGAGTCCCTCTTCATCTTTATCCAGGGCTAAACTTTCAAACTTTGCATTCAAATGTAGGCACCTGGTAGTCAGAGCAACTGAGTTGCATACCTCAGCTAAAGCCAGTAGGAACTGCAGGTGGTCAGCACTTCTGTTTAGAATGCCTAAGCATAGGCCTATGTCCTTAATTTGAAAATGCTGGACTTCATGGATATCCCTGAGCAACCTCATTTTCCTCAACTCACATCAATAACAGGTTCCCCCACAAAGCCCAAGAACCAGATGCAATAACACAGAAGTTGACAATGCATTCAATAGCTGTCTTTTCCTATAACTGCAGGCTCCAAACAAAACCAATGCAATGTGTGTTTTTATGGGAATCCTGAGTGGCCAGACCCTGCAATTTAATGCACATAATTTCATGTACCTGCTTGCAACCCAGTGTCTTTAACAGCGCTACCCATGGGTGTAGCAATCTCCTCACATGTATGAAGCTGCAGAATTTAGGCCTAGTCCAGCAATTTCTATTTTCAGGAATGATTTCTACAATCATGATGTTTGTTTTCACTTGAATTCATCTTTACATTAGAGGATAGATATGATTATATGCAACTTAGTTGTGACCTGTAAACTCGTGTCATGCACCAATGTTCTTTCACTTCCTCCTTACAAAATGTCCTCCCCATCCTATGGTTCAAAGTTCACACCCAATAAATTCGGTGTAAAGAATC